GCTAAACCGGCTGATGCTGGCGGGATAACTCCGGGGGCTAGGTCCCACTTGCACGAATTAAGAGATACTGACCCTAGATAGCAAAGATCAACGGCCCAAATCTCCTAATTTGCGCAAGTGGGACCTTGCCCCGGGTTGAATTGTGAGGTCCCCGGCCTCGGCTCAGACGGTTGGTTTTGAAATAAAAAGGGAATTCCTGAAAAAAAAAAAAAAAAAAGTTGGCGGGAGTGGGAGTAGGCCCGCACTTCCACCGACTCGCGATGTCCCGGGGGTAGCAAAGAGGATTCGCTCCTGAATCTGGATGTCCTTTAAGAAGAGATGCAGAAACTCGGTTCCATCTCGATTTTCTTCATCATGTTGCACCACTCCACAGACACGTCTAGATTCAGGCGTTAAGTCTAATTCTCTTTGCTAGTGGAACTTTGTCGTTTTGTTCTTCATTCCTGACCGCCGATGGGGCGGGAATACACAGATCCATCGCCAGAAATGAAGAACACCATCTAGCGTCTAGCCGGACTTGGGCCCCGGACTTGGGCCCCGGGGCCAAGTCCCACTAGCAGCGTTGAGGTAGAGCTACCTCAACGCCTGAATCTGGATGCTTTTTCGGAGACGTGCAGAAATGGTGTTGAGTTTCCTGAACTGCAACCCTCCACAAACACTCCACATTCAGGCGTTGAGGTAGCTTAACGCTGTTGGTGGGACTTTGCCGCCGGTCCGTTTCTCCTGTCGTATGTGTCGTTGGTGTTTCGTCGAGCATTCCCCCGGGGCCATGTCCCACTTGCACCGTTGAGTTGAGTAGCTCAACGGTGCGACACGGTTTTCGTGATTAAAAAACTATTTTCTCGCATTTTTTGTCAATTCCATAAAGACCTTTTCGACAATTTTTTGTACTCTGTGAATATATTGAAAAATAAAAGAAGTAAAGGCGAAATCGTTATCATTACTCCCTGTGCCCGAATCTGTGAAGAACCTCATGCGCTGTGCTTACGGAGTGTAGTCTGACRCTACSCGCCGATCASRGCGCCTGGCACGACGGCAATCATGAACCTGTGTCCGATAATTTTTCGTTTTCGGGGGAAATCTATCCGAGCAGCCACCGTTGAACTACCTACCCCGTTTTTGAAAAGGCAGCTAGTTCAACGGAAGTGGGCCAGGGTAGGGGGCGTTCTAATCGGGGGCGGCCATATTTTCCCCTTCGTTTAGACCCAAAAAAAACCCCGAAAGTCGATTATCATTTCACAAATAAATTCAACCGCCCGATGCCCCGCTCCTCGTGTGATCGTGTGAGTCGCCCCAGGTCACACGTAATAGAATACTCAACGTTGAGCTAGCTCAACGGTGCAAGTGGGACATGGCCCCCGCCCCCGCCTTTTGGCTTTTTTTTTTTGTTTTTTTTGTTTTTTTTTGTTTTTTTTTGTTTTTTTTTGTTTTTGTTTTTTTTTCCCAACTTTTCATTCAAATATACTAAGATGGCGGGGGGGCTCACAAACAACCCTACGCAACAGTATTCCCCCGAATACAACGCACGGTCATTATAGTTGAATTTGGGTTATCTTTCAGTCTAAATATACAGCTATAATGCCCGTACGTTATATTCGGGGGAAGACGGTAGCCGCGTTGAGTTTCGTCAATGGCTACCTACAGCGAGCCCGCCCCCGCCTTTTCGATATGCCCACATCAAAAAGACAATCTCTCTCTCTCTCTCTCNTCAATGGCTACCTACAGCGAGCCCGCCCCCGCCTTTTCGATATGCCCACATCAAAAAGACAATCTCTCTCTCTCTCTCTCTCTCTCTCTCTCTCTGTGTCTGTGTGTGTGTCTGTGCTCCGCCCGGCGCGAAGTCCCACTTGGTCGAATTCTTCGTTTCTTAACCGTTGGATCGTCGTAATCTACGGTTATACGAAGATGATAAGCAGCTCTTTGCAATTGTTTCGGCCATTTGTTGGTGGTTATAGCTGTATCTGGACTGAAAGGTAGCCCAAATACTGGTATAATGACCGGGCGTTCTATTTGGGTCATGTCGGGTATCGACTGGTTAGTGAGTACACTGACTGGTTAGTGAGTACACTGCGGCGATACCCTTCGTTTTCCAAAGTTCAGATTTTTGTTTTTTTGTTTGTTTTTTTGGGAAAGTTCAGATTTTAACAATCCCGCTCTTTTTCCGCGGTTCATCAGTTTCACCCGCGTTCGCTATCTTTTTCCCTCTTGCCTTGTTGAACAGCAGGCGTTTTCCAGTGGTGTGTGGGGGCGGGATGTCGTTTTCCGGTGGTGTGCGGGGGCGGGATGTCGTTTTCCGGTGGTGTGCGGGGGCGGGATGTCTATGCGTGTGTGTGCGCGCGCGCTTGGTGCCGTTTTCTCACATCTCTGTTTTTTCGTCAGAAGCTCGCTCGGTGTTAGCTATGCAGCCGCGGCTGTTGCTGCTTAGTAGTTGTTAGGGCGTCGTCTTCTTCTCCCTCTTCTTCATCATCATCTCCCTCTTCTTCTTCTTCTTCTTCTTCTTCTTCTTTACTTCTTCCCGCTCTCTTCGTTTCATTTTTTGTTTCATTTCTTCTTCTTCTTCTTCTTCTTCTTCTTCTTCTTCTTCGTTGTCGTCGGTTCACGACGCGGATGAGAACTCCATCGCCACTGCATCATCATCGCAGCCGTCCGTCGATGTGAAGCTTTTACGGCGAGAATCTGTTATGAACATTGGTTCGTGGTTTGGAGTTGCGCTTGAACGAATTGATCGATCTATTCCCTTCCCCCAACATCCCCGGCTCCGTCCCCCTCCCCTCCGCCACCCTCCCCTTCCGCCCCCCTCCCCTTCCGTTCCCCGCCGCCCCCTTACGAAGAATCGTAGCCATCTGCCGACGTCGGAGACTTTGTCATCTCTCTCTCTCTCTCTCTCTCTCTCTCTCTCTCTCTCTCTCTCTCTCTCTCTCTCTCTCTCTCTCTCTCTCTCTGTCTGTGTCTCTCTGTGTGTCTCTCTGTGTGTCTCTCTGTGTGTCTCTCTGTGTTGCTATTGACTGGGCAACATGATTGTCGGAGTTGTTGGACTGAGGAAATGGATGGGCTCTATCCCGTCGGCAGTGGGAGAACAAGATGAAGGCCACAAGCTGGCCTGATCGGTAATAAATCAATCAAATCAGTCAATCAATCAATCAATCAATTAATCAATCAATCGATCAATCGATCAATCGATCAATCGATCGATCAATTAATCAATCGATCGATCAATCAATCATTCAGTCAATTGATCGACCACTGATCTATGTATTAATTAACGAATCGATGCCGTAGTCGATCTACTAATTAGCAATGGATGGGATTTTTCAGATACGATCAGTCAAAGTCAAGCATGAGGATTATCGATCAGGGAACGGCGAGAAAGCGATGTGATTGGAACGCGCCGCGCACGAGACTATTTATTAGCTGGCAGTGCTTCTCTACTTTCCGCTGATAGAGTTTTTATATAACCTTGTGATCATGGGGATATTAACCTTGTGATGGGGATATTAACCTTGTGATGGGGAATGGCTGTAGACGACACGATGAGGAGGAAGTCCCCAAGTAGCAGGAGCGGGGACCACAGCTATTATGGGAAAGAGAGGAGGATGAGAGCGATGGCCATGGAACTAGGTAGGTGCAGACTGGGAGAAAGAGGAGTCCGTCTGACCGGAGAAGAAGATAGACTCCAACGCCGAACACTAGGATGATTTTTTCTTCGCTGAGAAGAAGAGGCATTTTGACGAGAGCCACGTGATTGAAGTGTGTTCAAGGAAATGACGTCGAAGGTTTAACTCTCAAAGAATCTTCATCGAAGAGTCACCGAATCTTCATCGAGACGATCGTTACCGCCACGTGACCGGATCGTGACCGAATCGTCACCAAACCGGCAGTGAACCTTCACCGAATCGTCACGGATCGTCAGAGAATCGTCGAGCACGAATGTTAGCGCCACGTGTGCTGGCATGAGGACGAAAGAGGGGTGGTGATTGGCCACAGGCTGGAGATTACCTCCTCCTCCCTTATTTCCCCGACAGATTCATAATGTAATACACGGCAAAATCGAATGTCTTTCGTTGATATCCATTTCCCATCGATAAGGATACCAGATTGTCGGGCGTAGGAATACTGGTTCTAAAAGACAGGCTTTTATGGTCTGATAATCTTCTACCGAATCGTCTCTTCCTATCTCCCTCCCTTTTTTGCTCCAAAAGACCCTTTCTTGCTCCAAAAGACAGGCTTTTTTGCTTTACTCCCTCTCTTTGTGAGATAGTTGACGGATAAGTTTAACAGATTGCTTTACTTCCTCCTTCTCTGTGTCTGTGTGTGTGTGCGTGT